TTTTATTTATTTATTTTTTTTTCAGCTGAGCCATCCTGCTACCTGTTGGCAGCTCAGCGGCTGCTCAGCTCGGGCTGGTCTCGAACCGCTGTTGCTCAGAGCTCAAACTCTTGAGCGAGCTCTTAACCAACTGAGCCACTCGGCCGGCCCTATTATAGATTATTTTATATGTGAAAATTTAATCTACGTTTCATAGACTCTAAAAAAATAACTCCCACCCACTAAAAAACAAACCAAAAAGAAGTTTGCAGACTTTTTTCCATATACCTCATACCCGTTTTGCAAGCGTGTGGAGGGGAGTCCTGGCAAGGTCTGTTCCCCAGGGCTGAGTCGTAGCCGCAGGCTTTGAGAGCTGCCAGATGCACTTCTCTAGGAATTCTGCATCTGCCCTGCACCCCTCTCATCCTCTCCCAGTCGCCATCAAATAAAAAAATTCAAGGCCACAATTCTGTGTTCAGAGTGTACCCCTTGAATATCTCATGGAGGGGAAAAAATCTGAATACAAAAAATACTATTAGTATTAAGAGGTTAAAAGTATTTTTTAAAGTAAACAGATGATTGCACTTTTAACTGTAAAGCCAGGTTTAGGCATGTGGGCAGGGCTGTCTGCATTTTTTCAAAATGAGAACTTTCCAGAAAAGAGCTACAAAAGAGACACTAGCTACAAATTGGATGAGGACTAAAATTCAGTTTGGTTTATTCCACAGTCATACGATGAGATCGTAGAAACGATGCTTTTGTTCCCCAGCGTTAGAAGCCCCTCAGTAAGCCAAGCTTACCAAAATTCTTTGGTCCTTTCCTCTTTCACCATGTTTATGAACACAGCATCAATGTGTGTAATAGATGGGAACTTCTTTTTTGCATTTTTATAGATCTGCTGTCTGAGGAGGTCAGAGAGTGTACGTATTGTCTCATTCGTCCCAACGGCATCCCCATGAAGTATATAGGAGGAGCAGAGGGTGGCCCAGTTACACAGATTGGAAAGCAGTCAGCGGTGAAATGCCTTAAATTAATCAACATAGTTTAGCTGTCGCTATTTCTCTTGTTCACTGTAGACACGAAGTATTAAATGGACCGATGAGTCTGAGCTGTCTTTATGTCCCGAAGGGGTCTCTCCAGGTCAACAGCAATTTAGAAATTAATTAAGTGGGTGATGGCTTATTTGCTTTATGATCTACATTAGAAATATGTTAGGCAATATTACATGACAAATTTCACAGCTGTCCAATTCAGTAGACTTATCAGACATCTTGGATTTTCCTAGGGGAAAAAACCCAGCAAACGTTCTTCTATTGAATTCCCTGTTTTATCTGTGTTGCAAGGACATTACAAAAATGGAGCATTCCAAGCACATTTTCATCACCTTTACTGTGAGAGACCTGAGACTGTTCTAGTTACAGTGAACAGCCGGGGTGGGTGCTGGCCATCCCAAACCAGAAGGAATACGGAGACTTGAAAGGGGTGCTGAGGGCATTGGCTACACAAATGAATTCAGGGCCAGTTCTTATGCTTAGAGATCGATTCATTCAAACGTAGTTTCTGTGTTCCCAATGGCTTAAAATCTTGATTCTGCTATGTCCCCTCTTTGGCAGAATGAGGTAGAGAGCTGTGCAGTGATTAGACAGGAACCCTGAAACCAAAGCCTCTTAAAAGCTGAAGAGAAATCAGACTGAAGAACTGTGCATCCGAGCGAGCTGTAAGTGCCGTGGGCAGCAGGTGTCCCCAGGCATCTCCGCTAGATGTCCACAGGTGCTCCAGACATACTGCACTCAAGCCCCCCCAGCCCACCCACCCTCCCGGTAGCCGTCCTTCCTGCTGTCCTTCTGTTGGTTCGCACTCTCGCCCCCACCCAGGCTCCTCAGCTTCAGAGCCCCCTCTCCCTCATCCCCACCCCAGATAGCCACCAGGCTCTGTCTTAGCCTGCCTTTCCAGATGTCTCCTGAATTGGACCCTTTTCTCTCCTGAGACACTGTCTCCATTTGAGCTTTCATTATCTCTTGTCTGGATACTGCTGTCACCTCCTCCTGGGGCCCCAGTCTCCCCCCTCTCCAGTCTGCCTTCTCTGTTGCCAGCAGTAATCCTCTCTAGAATACATTTAGTGAGGACACACACCTACCGACAGCCCCCAGTCCTCATTGCCTGAGGGCACGGGCCAGACTGTAGAGCATGGCAGACGCCCTTTCCTCTTGGGTCCCAGCTTACGCACTGGTACTACCCCCCAGCTTACACGCTGGCACGGCCCCCCAGCTTACACACTGGCGTGGCCCCCCACCTTCTCCCTCTCTACCACTCCATGCACCCCGCACGCCTGCCGCCCACATTTCCCAACAATCCTGAGCCCCGTGGCCACTAGCCATACCACTTCCTCTGCCCAAGAGGCCCTCTTGCTTTACCCAGTTCCTTCTCGTTCTCCAAGACCCAGCTCAGTTGTCACTTCCTCTCTGAAGCCTGTCCTGGTGTCCCAAGGCTCAGTTAGCTGTTTCTTTCCCTTTATTCCCAAGACTTTTACTCATGTCTCCACTGTAGTTCTTAGTTTGTGTTCTAATAACCTGGTGACATAGCTTTCTAACTAGACTGAGTTCTTAGAGGACAGAGATAATCACCTGCTCATCTTCGTGTCCCCTGTGCCTCACCCTGCCTGGGCACATAGTAGGCGCTCAATACATGTTTGTTGAATTAAAAATATAGTTGTAAATTCTTTTAAAAAATCAAGACTATGCCACAACAGGAAGCCTAGTTAGCAGTGGTGTTTAACATTTCTGAAATATTAAAATTTGTCTGCTCTCATCTAACAAACAGTATATATTCAGTTGGCTTCCTTGACAGTTTGTTGTCCTGTTGATGCCTTTTGAAGCATTTTTAAAAGCCAGCCTCTTTTGCCCTGCTACCAGCCCCCCCTGCCCCCACTCCCGAGAATCAAGATGCAGGGAATGAATGACTTTTTGAAGACTTAGGATTGTACTGCTTTTGCGAACCCATTTTGTGTGGCTACCAAATCATTAAATATTTATTGAGTGCCTACCGTGTGCAAGGCAGGTGACATCTTTAGTGGTTTTCTGCTATGAATTATCAAGTGTGACATGATTATTACAGAAGTTTTAAAGTCTCTCATTAAAGCTGTTAGAGATCATGATACTTTGTTGCTGTTGAGTAAGATATGTCTTTGGGAAATGTGTGAAATGTCTTCATAATTTTTTATAACAGTAAATAATCAAAATGTAGTAAAAAATACATTTGATACCGGCTTAAGCCCAGGGTGCTTGTTCTGAAACAGATCGGTACATTTTATTAACAGTTTTCACAGGGAGAGCCTACCAGTCAGGCGCGCTGTTTCCTCGGGGCTCGTCCCCAGAGCAGAGTGCCGGCAGCCTTCTCACCCCCTTAGCCACAGCCCTGGATTGAGCTGGCAGAAGCCAGGCCCCAAACGTCCCAGCTGTGAGGTTTCTGTTTTATTTTGTTTTACTGTTTTTTTTTTCTCCTGATAGATCATGGGAATCCTTCTGCTAGCCAATCTAGGAGCCTTTTTACTTATTTTACAAAAAATGCCACATTGGGCTTGCTTTTTTCTCTCTTTCATTGGTTCCGTTTCAGTGCTGCCAGTTATGGTCATTTTGAGTTATTTCACACAACTGTAGGCATCCTTGTGTTCCACAGGGCTCTTATTAATTAATGAAATGATATTAATGTGAAGGCGATATCATTAGACCAAAACAGAGAGTGAGAAGCCGTTTTCCCATTTGGAAGGGAGAGGCTCAGGCTCTGCTGTTGTTCATAGCAGTGAGCTTGTTTGCGGCTAAAATTAAACCCTCCTGACTCATAGTTTGTTGTACTTTCCATCTCCTTTTTTAAAGTCCTATTAAAAAGAAAATCACTGAGAGACCATGTATAATATATATTTTAAGTCCTTTAGTGATTTAAGTGAGACTCAATCTTAACAGTTATGCAAATGAAATAATTTTCTATATACTTTTTACAGGAAGCTATTGAATCCTTCAAAGAAGCTTTGAAGCAGAAAGTTGATTTTATTGACGCGTATAAAAGTTTGGGGCAGGCCTATAGGTAAGTAAAGTAATAACAGTTGGGTAGGAGAGAGGATGTAGAATGGGGAAACAAGATAGCCTCATATAACAGTGACACATTTTTTAACCAGAAGAAGCTGTCATTCTGAATCACACAGGCATTTACACACTGTGGAGCTCTTCTCTGGAATGTGGAAGGAACCACGTGTCAGAGGGAATCATCTTGCATATTACTAGATCTTAAAACCACTTCCATGTGGATGTATTGGTCTAGAAAATGTTAGCCCTTCAAGTGTTACCGTTTTGAATAGTGGCATTATAAGCTATTGCGTTATCTAGATGCTGCTGTTTTTTAGGCCACAAATAAGGTTGACACCCACATCACTGATCTGTTTGAGGATTCCTAGAATAACGGAGGCACAGAGGCGTTACGGTCATGATGCTCTTGTCAGGAGTGAGAAGCTGTGCTGTGCCATGGCTTCTGACTCCACACACTGCTTTGGCCAGGAGAGCGATTCTGACTTTGGCTCTGAAAAAAATTGTACGCTCTGACTTATGCAAAAGTACTATAAAAGTTAGAACAGAAAGATGCTAACCGAAATCCCCTTCAAAACTTTGTTAGGT